TGTATTAAATAATTTAATTTTTTAAAAATGAAAGTTATGATGAACGTTTAATTCTTTAAACAATTAATTACATATTTGGTACTTAGCCCTTCATTTTTAAATAGTTTTTTATAGGACCATATTAATATATTAACAATTTGACTTTAAATTATTTAAAACAGAGTGATATCCAACCATAATCATTTAAACTTCGACTCAATGCATTTCCTCCCCCTTCTTTCTCTCCGACTCGCCCTACAACACATCATTTTCACTCTCTTTCATATATACCTATATATATAATATATATTTAAATCATTCTTTAAATCATTTTTTATATATATTTTTGATGCATCTGTACTTTAACATAATATATTATCACGAAAGTAACTGATATTAAAATATCTATATAAATATACAATTTATACTAACTTCGATACATTGCACATCCTCCCTCCTCTTCCTCTCCCTCCTCCCTTGCCCACTACTCATCTTTTTCGTCTTATTTCACTATCTTGTCATATAATATATGGATTTTTCCCTTAAAATATATCGTTTAATTAACTAGTCTTTAAAAATTCTATCTCTAAAGATCTAAGAGGTATCATCCTTACACTTATTTAATTCTAATGACATGTATCATTTGTATGTATATATAAACTTACCTTTTTAAAAAAAAGGTAGAAAAAAGCGCTAAGAGTGGGTGCTCAAAAAACCATTTGGGCCAGTTTCACCAACATCAATTACTTAATCGACTGTGAAACTGACCAATCACATTTGCTATTTAGTAGAACCATCTTTAAAAACCTACGTGATATTATCCTTATTTACTTAATTCTAATGACATGTATCATTTGTATAAAAGATTTGATATGAATAGTCGGCGCCAAGTTATTCTACCTTATTACTTACTTTATTTTAACTCAGCCGTATAACTGAAGTGGATCGACAGTTTTTGCTTTGATGAGTACCAGGATGGGAAAAATAAGTAATCAATTATAATGCTGAGGATGACTTAAAAATAAAGTCGAAACGTAAGAAGTTTGAATTTACAAGATTCGTATTTTATTTCGCAACCTAATAAATATGACTCGATCGCGCGATGTCAAAACGTTTATTTTTTATATTTACTGTTATGTTTATTTTTATGATTTAAATTAAAGTTTTTTGTTATTTTACTAGTTCTTTGTCCTTCTTTTGTCTATATAATATTAATTGTTCAACGAGAATCTATATAAAGAGATATATGCGTATCTCAGCACTTGCAAGAATTTTGCGAATATCGATAGACCTCTGATGGCGAGTCGACGTAGTAATATTCTTCGCAATATTTATCCCAAGTAATATACGTGTTCCCTCTCCCCCTAACTTACGCGCCGAACAATCGTCGGTTTTTTTTTAACGCAAATCTATTCGAAAAGTCCCGCCCCCCAATTTTATTAAGTTTAATTTGAAAAATTTATTTGAGCGGATATTAATTTAAGTTACAATAAATTAAATAATATTCGCAAAATGTTATAAAATCAAATACAAATAAGGTGTCTTCTTATTTTGTCAACGATTAAAATAACACGTGTAAAATTCGTAATACATATAAATTTGTTGTTATTAAACGAGTACAATAACGTTGTTCATTTTTTTATTTGATACAATTCTCGATTCAGGTGCGTTGTTAGTTTTCATTATCAAATGTAAAGTTAAATATGATATAGACTCACCTATATCTCGCCTCCACATTATAACCGTAATACGTAATCTTAAGCTTTTGCTAAATAGAATTTATAAATTATTGTTACTAAAATTATTCATATAACGGCTATTTAATGTTCCACGTGTGTGATGTTGTTAATAAGATATAGATGAGTCTATCACATTTTTATTACATAACATTATATTATGCTTTCTTGTTTTTTAATTTGTTAGAATCTGCTAACTCTATATTTGATAATAAAAACTTGCAACGCATCTGAATCAAGAATTGTATCAAATATAACAAAATGACTGACGTTATTGTACTTGTTTAACAACAACGAATTTATGTATTACGAATTTTACACCTGTTATTTTTCCAATAATAAGGATAATGTAAAGGACGAATCTGAGAATCGTCGACAAATAAAAATTAAGAAATTAATACATATGAAAAATTAGAAAAAAATAAAAAACTATTCGATAAAATAATGAAACGATATATTACATTTTGCATAAAAATTGATTGCAACAAAGAACGATTATAAAATAAGAATTATATAGTAGTAAAACTATGGCTAGGCATGCTGCTATTAAAAAATGATATAATTTACTTATAAATACATGATATATTTACCTATTTTTTAATGTATTTATAAGTAAATTAGAGGATATGTTTACTTATGAATACTATTAAAATTTATTTGTATTTGTATTTTTATATTAAATAAAATGTTAAAGACAACTTTATTATCTCATTGTTCTGTTCCTACTAATTGCATAAAACTGGTGCTGTTTATATAATAATAATGCTGCTATTAAATGATATAATTATTTATTTATGAATACTTTAATTATATTTGTATTTTCACATAAAAAAATTGTTAAAAACAGCTTTTACATTATTGTTCTATTCTTACTAGTTGAATCAGTGCCGGACTAAGGTATACAGAGGCCCCAAGCTACGACGTAGATGGGCCCTGTCCCAAAGCCCTATAATAAATTAATAAGCTATTTTAAATATCGCTATTAAAAAATTCCTCTTAGTCAAGCAAGCTCCATCACCGCGTCAAGGTGAGAATCTATCGATGGGGTTTTTAAAAATTTTTTTTGTATTTCTTAAATTTTAAATTAAAAAAAATTTTTTTACCTTTTAAATTTTTTTTATTTCTTACTTTAAAAAATTTTTTATTTTTTACTTTTTTAATATTTCTTTTTAGTTGTTATTTTTTTAAAAAGTATTTTTAGAAAAATTTTTTACGAGACTTTAGCTTTGCAAAGTCATCAATAATATCGTTAAATGATAAAGTTCGAAGTTTTTCAGCTTCAATACATAAAATAGCAAGGTCTGATAATTTTTCTTGAAGCATGGTGGTACGTAATTCATTTTTTAAGCGTTTTAACCGCTAAAATGACCGTTCTCCTGAACAATTAGTCACCATAAAACTTAAAAACAACCGTAGCGTTGCTTCCACATTGGGAAATGCTATAAATTATAAGTTGCTTAATTAAGTTTATCTTTAAATAACAAGAATAGACAGGCTAATAGAGAGTCCTTTCAGCTGTTATTGGTGCGATATACAATATAAGATATGTTAAAATGTGAATATTATATACTACGTAAATAGTTACCCCCCCATTGCGCGCCGAACGTTCGTCGAACTTAAAACGCAACTCTAATCAACTACCGTAGTAATATCACAATTATTTTTTGATGCATTTAGCATCTAAAATGGATCTTAATAATATGTTGAAAGACATATTAAATTCTTAAATTATAATATTTAAAGCAGAAATAAATCTGAATCTAAGAAAATTAAGAATTGTGAAGAACATCACGAGTTGGCGTTTCGTCCCGGCTTCCACTACTGGACTCATCAGTAAGGTAATGTAGTGGGAGCCTACCTTAGACGCCTGGGAGAGATGTTAGAAAGAAGTTCTATATAAACAAATAATCATGTAATTCGGCACTTGCGAGAATTGACACGATTAACTATAGACCTCTGTTGGCGAGTCGACGTAGTGATATTCTTCACAAATTTCCTCATTTAAATAAATAATTCTAAAGTAACAAACGCATTTTTGCAGCCAGCGTATATTTATCTTTAAAGATTATTTGATATAGATCCTGGTGGTTTAAATTTTGATTATTGGCGGCATGGTGCATCTTCACGTAAATATGAAAATGTTTAAGTTCTCCGATAAGGTTGATATCTACATCTTCAGGATAATCTTTCATTAAACACTTTACGCCATTATGAAGTTCACTGTCAGGGACATCTAAATCAACTTAGAAAGAAATCTTCTCTGCAATATTTTGGTAAATTAGTGCTCTTTTCTGTAAGTTTGTTTCAAGCGTATCCATCATAACAATAAACGCTTTTATGCGAAATTTATCTCTTGCCGAAAGAACTTCATCAACATTAGGTACATTTCCATCGTTAACGACTTGTTTCCTACGTCTTTGACGCTGATTTTCAGCTTTATAATCCACATCAGGTAAATGTTCTTTAGCTCTAGCTACAAATTCATCGAAACTTTCTCGGTTTTTCTTTAAAAACTGTAATAGCGATGAATAGAGCTTTGCACAGGTACTGAGGGATATTTTTGAATCTTGCAGAGCTTTACTGGTTTTATGAAACTCATTTAATATACGATTCCAAAATTCTAACATGAATACAAACTCTAATTCCTCCATTTTTTCCTGAAGAATACCAGCTTCTCGTCGTGTATCACCTTTTTCATACTCGTTTGTATACAAGCAATGAAGAGCATCAATAATCGATTCATAACCATCGGATATAGCTGAAACAGCTTTTGCATGTGTCTCCCATCGAGTATCACAAAGTCGTTTTGGTATCGTTGAGTCAGAGACCAAACACGATTTTAAAACAGTCCAACGTTTTGTAGAAGCAGAGAAAAATGTATATACTTGCTGTATAATAGCAAAGAAATTTACCGCGGGTAAGCAGCAATCAACTGCGGCATGACCAATAAGATTTAGTGAATGCCCACCACATGGAATGTATACAGCAAATTTATTTTTGTCCAGAAGGATTTTCTGCATGCCATTATACATTCCTGACATATTGGCAGCGTTATCATATGACTGTCCTCTGCACTTATTAAAGTCAATTTTGCAATTATTCTCAAGATAATTAAGTACGACATTAGCTATATTTTTTCCACAGTGACCATTTAATTGCAAGAACGTTAAAAAGCGTTCGATTGGGAAACCGTCGTCGGGTGAAACATATCTGACAATAACCGCTAATTGATCAACGTGTGAAAGATCTGGTGTTGAGTCGACAGATAAGTTGAAATATCCAGCTTTTTTTAAGTCTTTCAAAATTAAAGTACTCGTTTTTTCAGCCATCAGATGAATGAGTTCGTTACATATTGTTTTAGACAAATATGAAGATTTTCCAGTACCCTTGTTGCCATACTGTTCTATATGGTTTGCAAGAAAAGGGTCGAATTTTGCAATAAGTTTGCAGTAGATCAAGATAGTTTCCATTATCCAATGCTCCAAAACGTTCAATATCGCCTCTGAACGCTAATCCACGTTCCGCCAATGTGCAAATAACTGCGACCAAGCGTTCAGCTACTTGTCTCCAATATTTTCCTTCAATCTCTATTTGCTTATCAAGGTGTGTATTTAAGCTCAGTCCTCGCCGTCGCGTCAAATATGTAAGTAATGCACATCTATGATCTTCTGAGTTTTCATGTTGTCGAATTACAGCTGGATTTCTCCAATCGTTAAAACCATCATTAGCTAGCTTTACAGATGACGATGAAAAGATCTTGCAATAGAAACAATAAACTTGACCAGTGGTTGGCGAATATGTTAGCCATTCTCTATAGTATTTTTCTCCATTAGCTTTTGTTGACAAAAAAAGACCAGCCGAACAATATCTAATCTGATTTTGAAATGATTGTTTCGATTTTAGAAATGGGCCTGTTCGATGCTGATAATTTTCCGGACCTTCTTGAATTAAATCTGCGATGTCATCAGTATTTAATGCTGTCCAAAGACCGATATCATTGGCCTTAGTGTATTTTTCAGTTTCAATGTCAGGACCTGCACTTCCAGCTTTTTCATGTCTTCGTCCTCATTTGTATTTTCTACCTTATTTATATCAGATTCCGAAAGTTTTTTAATTTCAAAATTTGCATTAGTTACATTTTCAGAAGATGTACTGGCACTACTGCCAGAATATTCTTCTTGACTGCTTTGACCTGTCGTATGTTCATGGGATTGTTTTCCCATTGCCATAAAATAACTGTCTACTTTAGGCAACTTTTTCTAGCTGTATTTCAAGTTCTTGTTTTTGTTTTCTCTTTTGAAAACCGCTTTTAAATTTCTTCATTTTATGACTCACAGGTCGTTAGAAAAATTGAAAAAGCTTTTTTTTAAAAAAAGAAACCTGTGAAATCACCCTTACTCTATAACTATAACTGTATTTAATATTTTTTATAACGTATGTTTTTTTTTATCTGTGAATATAATATAGGATAGAAGTAAAAAAAATTAGTAGAAACGTAATAATCTAATAAAAATTGTAATTTTTAATAAAAAAGTAAAAATTTCATAGATAAAGGGGACACCGTGCGATATCCTGCGAAGAAGCCAGCCGCTTATAACTCTAACATCGGGAGGAGCAAGCATTTATGCAGTAAATAGCGCTATGCAGCGCATTAAGCGTAGGGGCTGCCTAGCGGGACCGCGCGTATTGCGTATTATAGCGTCCGCGGTAAGCAGAGCAGAGAGCTCAGAGCCAGTGATGCCAGAGGTAAAAGGCGAGCAACACGATAGTGGAGGGGATGCGCACAAATAAGTAATCGCGTGTGACTCCTGTTACGGAACGTTGTGATTTTAGAATTTTTCTCCCGTTTTCGGGTCAATGCATTTAAGCAATTTACCCTGGGATTGGAGGTCAGGATGTGCGATTAAGGATGTTTAGTAGGAAGGGTAGGATAATTTTTAGGAAGGGTGATTTTGAACCCGGTCCCAAAGAGTTCGCGAAGTTTGTAGGTGAGCCTGCGTGGATCGCCTTTCTGGATGGTTTTATAGTTGGGAAAGGTGAGGTTAATTTCTAATGGGTTGAGGATATATTTGCGTTCGGGAGATGGATCTAATGGCTTATTATGATTTAGTAGACACGCGCGCTAGTTTCTCGAAATAAGGAAAAGGATCGTGATTTTTATTAAAGGCTGTTTTGATCTGGAACCTTAATCTCTTCTCTTTTTGTCTTCGTCCACCTTTTGAAGGCATGGAAGCAACACGGAAGAATTGTCTAATTTCGAGGAAAATGTCTAAGACTGGGGCCACGCCATTGGCAGCGACAGTCACAACTCAGTCCTCTATGTATAATTTGTGAATCCTCCGAGAAAATGCTTAGGACGGGGGCCACACTATTGGCAGCGACAGTCTCAACCCCTCGGATATTCATATACTACTAAACGAGACGCAGAGTTGAGATTTCGATTTCGGCTGAGTAACTTTTATATTCTGTTTATTAAGCAAAAAGGAAAAATAAATGACCCAAAAAGGAAAAATAACCTACGTCTAAATGCGAAGCGTGAGGATAGTTCCAACTAAAGAATGGTGAAGTTTCTTCTGACGACTGGCTGACAACTGACTAGTTAATGGAATAATGATGAATTTTCTTCTAACTGACAATTTTCCTACTTTTCGCAGCTCTTTTATACTCAAAAATGAACGTGGAAGTGTCCTTTCATCTATAGATGGCAAAGATATGAAGATAGATATTGAAGAAGGTATACCAACAGCGAAAGTATTGAACTTCTTTAATGACTTATTTGACTCAGTTAATGGAAATGAAAAGGTAATTAATGATGATAATAAGTTGCGGCGTCCAGTGCTAGTAGATAGTGCACATCTTGAATTTTGGATAAGTCAAAAAAATGTGCTGTGAGATATGCGTTATGTAGAAAAACTATCAGGTAAAATTGTAAAAACGGTTCTAACTTTGATCAACCGGCTCTTCACTGTTAATGGGTTTCAAAAACTTTGGAATGAAAATTTTAATTTCAATTCATTGCAAACGCGTTATTGTAATCAAGATCCATTGGAAAATTTTTTTAGTCAAGTAAGAAGTCACGCTGTTTGTAATACTAATCCAACACCTCGACAGTTTGAAGAATCCTTTATCACTCTATTAGTGAGTAACATGAAGTCTGTTTCAATTGTTGGTGGTAATTGCGAAGTCACTAATGACGACTTTATGTTATTTTCATTGGAAGAATGTTTGAATGATATCTCAAATGTTTTGAAAATAAGAGAGTGAATTGTTTGTGGCGTGTTGCCGCTTAAACAATTCTATAGAAAAAGAATAAATCGCTTGAAGCGTTGGTCGCTTAAACGATTTTGAAAATGCAGAGAGAATGAATTGTTTAAAGCGTCTTGACGCTTAAACAATTCCAGAGTAGAAAGGGTAAATCGCGAGTGAAAAAGGAGAAAAATAAAGAGCAAGGGAATGTAGATGGTCACAAAACGAATTTAAAATAAATAAATAAGAAAAGAGGAAAAAGAGAAAAAGAATTGTCCTCTTACTTTTGGGATGAATGAGCTCTTGATGGATTGTGAATTAGGAAGGGTTACGGCGACAGGAACAGGGGAATAGGGGGATAGATCAGAGAGCGTTTAAGGGAACAAAAAAAGGGATAGTCACTACCAGGGAGGTATACTACTGCTACCTTCTCTGGCGAGAAAAGAGTTTGTGAGGAAGAGGAGGTGGTATTGGGGGAGGTAAATTGGGTTCTGTTACTTGCTCTAGCGGGAAAAAAGTTTGTGAGGAAGACGAGGTGATATTGGGGGAAGGTAAATTAGATTCTAGAAGTGAGGGGGGAGTGGGAATATCATCGAGGGAGATGGGAGGGAATCGTTCATGCATTGGGAGAGGGGAAATCGAGGGGGAATCAAGGGGGGTTAGGAGCTGGAATGTGGTCAAGTCTAAAGGAAATTCTAGGGGATTGACGGGCGAGTATGAGGGTTCCGGGTATATATGTGTGGTGATGTGTGTCTTCGTATTTGTGGCGGGCTGAGCGGAGGAAGGCGGCAGCGTAGCGATAACAGGCTGACGGGGCTCCGGCGCTTCTTAGAGAGGGGGTCTCTTGAACAAGACTCCCTAGTGACACCGCGAGTGCGCATTAAAATTTGAGGGGGGTGTTAGGTGTAACGAAATTAAAATTGGAGTTTGCGTGCATAGAATTTATTACACATACTCCTTTTAAGGAAAGTAAAAGGGGTAAGGAAAGCAAGCAAAAATATAGTCTTACTTGGAGGTTGAGACAAGGCTAACGGCGGATCGGTCCCTCGCGAGACAGTCGACGGTGAAGCATCTGTGGAATCTTCTTGAGAAGGAGGCCAACTTCCAATACTTCCGAGGGTCTCGGAGGCGCACGGTCGTGGATGGTCCTGATGCACCGCCGAGGGTGGTCTTGGTGCACAGACTCTAACTGAATTCGGTGTGAAGCACCGAATTATAACAAGATTTTGGTCAGTTGAATCGGGCTGTGCCTCGGACAACTGACTTTTGATCAAAGATATGACTGATCAAGTAAGACCGAACAATTGACTCGGGCTTATCGTCTCGGACAACTGACACGGCAAACTGAAGGTAAGAACTGACTCCATGCGCTTACGTGACCCTCGTATATATACCCCAAAAAGGCGGGCTTTTTCTTTGTCTGAGATTGATGCTCCGCTAGCAACTAGTGACGTGGTTTACGATTTTTCTTAACTCCTATCGTGTTAATCTAGCGTTTTCTCGGAAGAGTTTCAGAAATAAAGGATTTTACGATTTTTCTTAAGTCCTATCGTAGTTGATCTAGCGCGTTCCTAGGAGAGATTTAAAAATAAGGTACTTTAAAATTTTTCTTAAGGGTCCTGTGCGTTGAAAATTGTTGTTGGGATCACGTCGCGCTTTGTTATAATAAAATACATGACCGAAGGAGTCGTTCATTTCCGCGGCTTCATTTACATTTGTTGTGTGTCGGATAAACATTGCCGTGGGAAACCCTCTAAGAGTTTTACGATTTGGCACGATGGACATGGCGCCTGTTATTTCATAAACGAGTTTTCTTAGAGTCGCGGATCACCCCTAGATAGTACTTTTGAGCGGTGGCGTTACGACTGACTTAGGCGCCCCTATGCTAAATCATTCGCGCGCCCCAGTATAAAGCTGCAAAAACAAAAAACTAAAAATTCCTGCTTTCAGCATTACCCAGAACCACGACGAGGACGTAGCAGGATAATGTGTCCGTTTTTTTTGTTTTTTTTTATTTTTTTTATTTTTTTTTGCATTTTTTATATTTATTAATTTTTATATATATTTTCATTTTATTTTCATA